TTTTTTCATGTGAGCCATACGAGTTATGACCACACTTCAATGGGAGCCGGTCGACCGGACAATAACATAGACCCGTTTCTATTCCGGGGGTCACCGAACGTCATCCAAGGGACTTTCTACCCTCACGATGGCGGCAAAATGTCTTTGAAGAATGGTCATATAGAAATCGAGTACGCTCGAATTTCCTCCGCCTTCCAGATCTCAGACGTACGCCGAATGTCGAGATCGTGGTATAGAGCTCCGTACAAACGCCAGTCTCGAGTTTTGACGTCTACCTCCCCACTCCGAGCTATGGAAACCAGCAGGAACCGAAGTCCCGATGGCCGGGATCTCGGGACGCGAGTGACATTCGCATCGTTCGAGGACTTGTCGTCAGAGCGACTGAGGACCTTCCGTCGGACCGATATCCCGGCGGCCTCCTCTTTCAATAATTGAAAATCTGTCTCGGAATCTCACTCTCGATCTTCCATTGTGCCTCGATCCGATCTGAATTGTTTCCAGCCTTCAGATTCCGCAGATTCTGCGAACAGCAACGTCGAAATAGTGTTTCATATATACACGGATTCAGTTGCGCGACAGTCGTCACAAAGTAAGTGTGTGGTTCTGATCGTGAGTTTTTTGTTTTTCGTAAGAGTCGGAGAGAAAGAGAGAGGGCGGAAAGCGTGTATGTGTTGCGTGACTTGAGTTCGCAACCACGATCATCTGGAAATTCGAACTGAACTTCATGTGAAAGCTGTGTTTGATCATTCTCCAGATATAGCATCACGATGGCTGCGCGTCTATTCCAGATCAAGTTTTGCTCAAAGTGTCTACAGCTTGGAGAATTTTCGATCGCATCGAATTCGGCTGAGTTTTGGGAAATATTCATATAGAGAATATCACGTCTTCTGTCGTTCGGCTGCTTAGAACGGCGGAGATTCTACACTATATTCACTTCTCGAAGTTCAGAAACTAAATCCGGATAATCGATATTCCACGAGGAAGGGAATCGGCTAGGGTCTCACCGACGCAGGAGAGCAAAAAAACTCAACACTTTGACGACCTTCGATCACTCGCGGCATTCAATCACAGGATTTTGTATTCCGGCCCTCAAATACCTAACAGCAAGTCACTTCTTCTCTCGATGCCAGAGAGAACTCCGAAGCGGCGGCTCACACGTTTCGCACGAACATGATCCATGTCAAGAACAATCGTAGAGTCGTTTCACTATCGACTATTTATCCTAACACACGAACGCAAATATCCGACAGAAATGGCGAGCCACAGCAGATGTCTCCCGCATGAAGTTTTGACAAATTGCCCGTAACGTCGCGACTGCTCGAATGGGAAGATCTCCTGAGTATCCTCCACGTCATGGACCACCGCGCCGTATGTCGGAAAGTCGGCGTCGAAAAGAGGATGGACCCATAAGCAGCGAATTTGAGTCGAGTGGCTTGCGGATATAGAGGGAGTTCTCTCGATGCACCCTGCACGAAACCCTTGCGACAATGACAATAAACGTTAGAGGATATTCTGCATTGGATGGTCAACGAATCTGTCTCTTTATTCTCGGAGCATACACAAAAGTTCGACACCGCATCGCTCAATAGAAACTTCCCCTTGGGCTTATAGAAAAAAAATCCGAAAGCTGTTCGCAAATTATTCCAACTGAACGATCATCCGTCAATCCGCTCGACCGATTCGTGTTGACTGTCAAAACGCGAGCTACGAAAGAAGCGGGAGCACATAAGATAGAAGAAGTTATCCGATGGTGACCGCTTGATCAGCAGCAGGACCTCTTACACCATTCAATGCGTTCACAAATTCTTATTTACTGCCTCGTGTTTATCAGCAACCTCTCCAGATAAATGTTTGGCACCGTTGAAGCTGCTTTGTTTATATCACGGGTTCATGTGAATTTTCTCCACTGAAGACGGTGCCTTGCAAGTATACACCTGCCTGAAAATGCGAAGAAAAAACGCGCCAAATGAACAGATGATCCAACTCTTGCTCCTTGAACTGTTCAGCCGTGGAAAGCTGTCGGACACATGATACTGAACTGAGGAGCTTCTCTTCGTTAGTGTCGACCTCGGGATTGAACCCCGAGGAGAACATCACCATTTTTAAATATTCCTACGTCGAATCAGTTTCTAAATTGTGAAGGAAATGCAGATGAACGACGACGCCGACGGCCTGTATCGCGTCGGACTTTAATTATCTGACACAGCGAGCGTCGGATCTGATCCACGGTCACAAAACGTGGGTTCCGTCACTGAACCGATTTTCGGTAGCTGACACCTTCATTGAGGCGAGTGACTTCGTTTCTTTTTTCCATTTTTCATTTCGCCAATGTTCCAAGAGCATTCCGGAGCGGGCTCGTGTCCGAAGTTCCTCCTCAGCCTTCAGCACGACCGCGGGACAAAGGCATGGTTCGAAGCTCGCCGTCATGATAACGCTGGATCGGTGGTGATATTCGAAATCTGAAGCGTGTTCTTCCACTTTGTATATCCGAGAGAAATCCCATGCCTTCCAATACGACGAGTCGCGACCGAGGTCCAGCCGACATCGAAGCCCGCCACCCGGCCGCTGAGCCACACAGACGAGTCGACTCGCGCACACTGTTAACGGGTTGTGGCCACGCAAGATTCCGCTCACAATATCATAACAATACGCAGACAGCTCCACCCTTTCAGTCGGAATTTCGTTCTTCCAATTTTTTCCTCGAGCGAGCGTTTCTTATTTCCCACTTCGAGCTTCGCTTAGTGCTCAGTTTCGGTCTGAGCCGTGCGGCGGCCATTAGATGTAGAGCATCGAGCATCGTATTCTCTCGGACGTAACAAAATATTGGACCGCGTCTTCCTAGTAGAAAAGAATCGATTCTACAATACATGGAGCTGTTTCGGGATCCATCGACCCCGCCAAAATCTCTCTCTATCTATATCTCAATGAGCCCACGATAGATCCGTCAATCGTCGGTTTATAAACCAAATCACGCACTAAATCACCCAATTTGAAGACAATTCCGTTCCTATATAGGCGAACGATCGACGCTGTCTCATACAATACTTCCGGCGACCCGCAGGGGATGACCTCAAGACGGAAACTAAAAAAAATCAAAATGCTTCGCCCCGACAAAATCAGATCTGCTCACTGATCCCCCACGAATTCTCACGATGGTACCCGAGGGGATGCATAAACACGTCGGAACCTTGATTTGCCGACAGAGAACGGAAGCTCTGTTCTTGCTTTGAGGGTTCGAGAGAAGTTCCATAATAACAGTATTCGCGATCGAATAGCCTTTAGATTCCTTATGGGTGGAAAGTCTTCCCTCTCTGTGTCTGAGGAAACGCCAGAGACCTGGTGATTATTATCACATCGATGACGAGAATAATGGTCACAATACAAGTTTTCTGCAATCGCGATCGCTGCGGTTTCCAGAATATGATCTTCATTGGTGAGCTTGGTCGCTCGCATCGGTTCGTCGAATGGGCTCCGTCGAGACTAAGTCCAAGGAATACTGGATTTAATTGTCGACGAACGGCATCGAACAATTACTTCTCATTCGACTCGTCATCCCCATCTGCTGCTGTCATTATTGGTGTCCATTGAAGGGCGCCGCTCCGAGCGCTCGAAAGCTCGCACGTGAGCCAACTAAAACATTGGCGAGAAATTAATTGGGCCTGCTAAGGTCTCCATAAGGTGAGCAGAAGTCACTAAATTAGAGCTGTCAATGACCACGTTATCGAAACATGTTAGAGACTAATCAATACGCCCACTCGATTCCGACAATTGTGTCAGATGTTCTTATGATCAAGTGGAATCAGACCAGTACGAGCTCAAAATCGCGTACTCGAGGCGCAGGCTCCACGTTCCGTCGACGGAGGGACGGTCTACATGCTTAGCTAGGATCAGCATCAAGATAGCCGTTCACTGATCATCACAGTACTGCTAATCTGAGATTTGACAGATCCGTACCAATTTACATGAATTGCAGCGAGCATTCAACGGTCGATAGGTTCCGTGGACTGCGTGAATAAAACATTAGTCATCAACAGAGATTGCAGCTCGTTTGGAGCACTTCTGGTCGCTCACGACCATCTCATGTCGGGGAGCCACCTTGTCGAATCGACTTGGAATACAAGCCAAGTGCCGCATCAAAGCGATCAACACAGATGTGCTCATTCAATGAAGACCGATGAGTTTCAATGAACATTTCACTGCCCCTGGAAGTGAATTCCAACACAGCGTGCGGGATCGAGTGTACGCAAGTCCGGCAACTCGAGTGAGAACCCATCGTTCCGATTCCGGAAGCTGACCCCGGGGAGGTGCATATTGGCGAACCTCTGTTTCCCGCTGTCTTCCATAGAACGTCTTCCAGGCGAATCCCACCGACGATACTCCGTCGGAATCACGCAGCAGAATGCAATTCCTCAAAGTTTGACTCACGCGGCTCCACTTTCTCCACGGATGTCCACTGCATGAACAATTTCCGTCACGAAGATTTTTACTAGCACTGACGGACACCGCTAATCTTCTTCTGGAGCTGCTGAAGCCCACCGAATCGCCAGGCGAGCTCACGAAGAGAACAACATAGACACGGAAGCTGCCGGGGCTTCCCGGAGCTCTTCCGAAGTGTCTTATCGCGGGATTTCCGCGGGAAGCGGATGCTCGACCCAGTCGGGGAACAGTACACCCCCAGATACACGGAGGTATTGTCTCCAGACCGACTTAATTCGAGCCGAAAACGGCGAAGCCGAGACGGTGGCTATCATCCTCATTCGCTTCACACACCATTGACGCAAGGGCGTTGAGCTTTTTGTCGCAACTTGATCATCGGCGCGACCGTTGATGACTGACGTTTTTGGTTCAACTTCCACACAGATGAGCCGAGAGGTTCCACACACACCCTTCAAACGTTTTATATGCTTCTTTGTGTTCGCATTCCTTCCTCAAGATTTCGGCTCCCACGGAGCGAACGAGCGGGAAAGACTCTAACCTTTGCCTTCAGGCCTTCCACTTACCTCCGAACATGAAGCTGAGGAACAGGAAAAGAATTGGAGCCGCCAACTGATGAGTCTCTTCCTCGAACTTCTCCTCCGCGGCTTTTTCTTCTGAACGGTTCCCCATCAGAATCCGGTGCACCGAGGACCATTGTTCAGCACTGAAGTTCGAAACCATGCTGGGCAACATATCGAAGAGCATGGTGGCGTTCTCGCGCGTCAGAACCGGCACACTGGCGGCCTGGAGCAGATCCTCTCCAGGGACCGCCGGGTCAGAATCCGTTAATCGAGACATGATCTCGAAGCCGCCCTCACTCCGATCCACTAGGTTCCTGAGATTAATCACACACAAACACTGGAGCAGTCACTTGAAGTTGTCGGAGGTTGCACTTCCATTTAGCGACAACGGGCTAGGGTTCCGTCACGCTCAGTTGTCCGCTGACGGGGCGCTGAACGGCTTCACGCGCTAGCGTTCGATACGCTAGAGCTCGACTGTTTGAACGGCCCACCGCGACTTGTTGCGGGAAACTGACGCGGAGTGACTGGCGCGAAGTGCAGACGGCGAGTAAGCGGGCGGCAAGCGGCTCGTGTGAGGGAGTCACACTAGTGAGTAGCGGCCGCCGCGGCGACGGAGAGGATCGCCGACGGGGTCGCGCGCGCTTCCGAGCGCGGGAATCCTGCGGTTTCCCACCGTTCAAGAGTGCATCACCTCCGACAAGACCCTCAATCAGGAAAACTCGAGAGGGAAAAACCGAAAATCCGACTGAGGCGCAAGATGAACGACATTTTTCTGGAAAACGGCTTCTATTAAATGCTCTTCGAACAGTTGACTCATTCCTTGAACCCGCTCCTGGACGCTCACAGCGAGGGTGCCAGAGGTAGGGGAAGAGTACCAGTTCTGGAACTATACTTTTAAGATGGGGCCTAGCTTTCCACAGACTTCCATGGAGTGTTCCATAGCTGGTGAATGAACTGGGGGTCTATGGGAATTTACCTTAGGTTAGGTGTTCCATAACTGGTAATTTCCCCTTTTTCGCGACGGTTTCGTTCATCGAATCGAGAGGTAAGAGCGTCACATCGCGGAACTCTATCAGTGAGCTCTAGGTGCACTCCATAGCACACTCAGAGCTTCCGGCTCCTGAGCACGACAGGGAATCGAGAAGACACTACCGGAGAATTTCGGGACTTTGAGAACTCCCCGATCATTTGTCGATGGTCAGACTCGGATCTCGAGCTCCCAAACGCGGAGGTAGCAGCCCTTGTGATCTCGGAACTCGTAAGAGCTTTTCAGAGAATTCGAAGACGAAAACGATATGGAGCGTGTAGAGTCGGTTATTTTATCGGAAGATCCTCCCTACCGCTGGTCCGGAACGACAGGGAGAAAATTTCCATCGCTCCTCCGAAGTTCGGAGGAACTTTGAAGAACGTCACGTCGTTTCCTCGAAGTTTCGCTAGGAAACGACCGTCATAATTAGGTTTGGAGACTTCCCACAGAATAATATGCAGCGGGTTCCGTATGAAATTTGAAATAGATGCAGGAAACGCCCTAAGTAGACATGGAATCTTCAAGTTTGAAATTGCTTTCTCTTTTTTCTGGAGACTCAATGGAAGTGTGGGAAATCTTTCGCAAGGAGAGAAAGTCGCCGTGCCAACGGATTCTGGGGATTATGCTGAGTTTTCAATTTTTTCGACCAGAGAAGTTGAAGAGGGAGACCCTTCGCTCCGAGAAAGCTTCGTAAGGTAGAAGAGTGTTTTCGCCGCGTATTCTCTGCGAATGTCGAATGGAGTCAGCTGGAGCTTCTACATAGAACTTGAATCCGTTCCAGGGTCCTCATTGTCTCTTGCCTCAACACTTCAAGAATGAGGACCAACCAAGGCTCTTTTTGGCCGAGGCGAAGCCAGCCACGCCGCGATGTCCCCGAGTTCGATGTCGAGAAGCTCGCAATATTCACTTCACCATATCAAGATCCCAAGGATCTCGATGGAAGCTTGCATTCAAACTATCCGGCGCGTGTACGCGAATCGTCAAGAGGCATTTGCCCGAATTCCATTAGGAGTATGGCTTCGTAAATAGATGGATTGATTGATCGATGGGAGGACGCCCGATATGATGCGCATACACACGAGAATTCGTGGCTCGCCTCGGCACCAGCTGTTTGGAGATCCAATCCCCATATCGATCCTGGCTCTTTGGTCCTGATTTAGAGCTTTCCGGGTCGAGCTAGAACCAACGACGAGGGGACCGAGCCGAGCGACTTCATCCCAGTGTCCCGTCAGGAACCCTGACGGACCCCCCGACACCTGGGAGAACGAACCGGGCCGCCATCTGTGCCCCGTGATTCCAGAACTCAGCCCCGCAGCAGCCCGGTTGCGGCCGGGGACCGGCTTTATATTTAATTGTTATCGCGTCTGGAAGAGGAGCGTTGTGATGCTGGTCCACATGCGGACCAGCAGCCTGCTTCGTCGTTGACGTCGTCTGGCATTGTGGTCAAACTAGCTAGTTTAGGACGCGCCGTTGTTGAGTCGAATTGCATCAGAGCAATTTCGAAATTGTGTGCGCTTTCTAGTCGGCAAACTGAACTTCCTCTTGACATCGTCCACCTTCTACTTTTCACACAGCTGTACACAACTGCATATACGCCATCAGCCATCACCTCTTGCTCAATCATCAATCATCGCTATAAGTTGTAACTAAGCAATTTGACGTTGATGGCGGAGAATAATACCGCCATCGAGCATAATCATGCTGAAAGGACATTGTGAAAATAGACGACAACTTGGAACGGAGAGATGGAGCCGAATCAGCATTGTGTATGGTCGATGTAGATGTTCCCAAACCACGGTGGAGTCCAGCGTCCAGCCAATGGGAACGATTCCCGATTCGAATCCTCGACTTCTATTTAGGGCCGGTTGGGGGCTCCCTCATCGACCACGACAATAATTATATTCCTGGACTTCTTGTGAATAACTCGATAATTTCCCTAGACCAGGGAGACCGCCTCGAGTCTCTCCTAAAGTTCCTCTTTGAGTTCACCTTTCGGCTAGAATCCTCTCAAACTGTGAGATTGGGGGAGAATACGCACAACCCAAAACGAGTGTCGTAAGCGCTTGATGCCTAGGACTCCCGCTCGAGAAATCGGCCGCACCGACAAATGGCTCAGAACACGGTCGCTCTTGGCATTGATCCCTCATGGGAATCACCGCTTACACTGTGAGGCGACAGAGGAGCGACGATCTCTGGAGAAGCGACGATCTCTGGAGAAGTAAAAATCTCCGGGAAAGACGGAGCATGATTCGGAGCCCCATGTTCTGGTATGCACAGGATGACAAATTCGCTAGGGAGATTTCATTCGCCTACGACAATGCGTGAATAATATCGGAACCTTCGATGGTGATCGAGATATTTCTCCGACAAAGTTCCCAGGAAACCCATCTTGACTCTTGACCATGGCCCACCCAAAAATTACCAAGAGGGAACCCGATTCGATGATGATTTCTGGTGGTCCATTAGCGCTTGTCTGAATGGGGCTCACCAGCAGGGTGAACAAGTGCCGATCCTGGAGCATTCATATAACAGCAACAAGGTTATCGTGGTGATAGTGATTAAGTCAAGGGGTGGTGGATGATCATTCGTTCCGATGCGTTATACAGCGGAGGAGCTAGTCGACGAAAATGTTTTATAACAAAGGTCAATTCAAGTGATGTAACCGCCCTGTTCCATCGCGGCGCGTGAACATATCTCAAATGCGATGCAAAACTTTTCCATTGATCCCGAGATATGCAGTTCAAGAAGAGTTGTCTCGCCTTTCCCTTCACTTATAATTATCATTCTCCTTGATAATATTCCTGGTTCAATGCTCCGTGATTCGCATCAGAAGACTGTCAGCACCGGACTTCGCGGGAAAATCTCAGTCTGCTCTTCTGGAGAATAATCTAATCTGCTCCCTTTACGATCATCGCGGTCGGAGGATCGCTCTATCTTCTCGCGACATTGATCACCTTCCAATCTTTCGGTCGACAGTCCTTTGGAGAAGACCCGAGAATCTCGGGGATCGAATACGTACGATAGATAACCCCCATGGCGACGGTGATTTTCGGATCGAGTCGGTGCATATTTTGTAGAAGGTGGTATCAGTCGTTCAGGCATCCATGTGCCTCATCCGGAGCGCGGATCTCGAGGTTAGATACCAGACAGATCGAGAGTATGAACCTGATCCGACGCGCGGGATTCCGGATCATCGGCTCGGATCATCTATCGGCGTTGAATGAACATCCTCGGGGAATCTCCGAGTAGAGTCCATAAACTCACTCTGGTCGGGTCCGATCGCGATGTGGAGCGACGTAATCGTCCTCGAGACCAAAACCGAAGTTCCAGCAATCTGATGCCATAACGAGCATCTTAGAGTCTGGCGCGGAGCCTTTTCGACGCTGACGGAACGCTGGAAACTCGTTCCGCGACATCGAGAAAATTATTCTTTCTTCCGCATGAGAGTCCTCGATACGACGGCTTTGCTCTTCGTGTCATCGATCTCCATTTTTTTTGGGACACTTTGGTGGCAGTTTCAGCAAGTGATTTCCACCCAGATATCGTACGGCAAACCTCTCTGTCTGTATTGTTGCTCGGAGCAGAACAATCATGGATTTCTTCGAGGAAGAGCGCGGGAGCCACACTGGCGTTGCTCGAAATCTGGTTGAGACGCAATCACATAAAATAAGGCCGCTCGAATCCTCTCACTGAACTAGAGATATATGTAGAATATATGCGTCCGGTCGTCTAACTCATGCCCGTCACGTGAGAGTCGAGTTTCCAAGGTCGAGGTCAGACGATTCGAACATTCCGGTGAAGTCGGATTTGATCGAGTTCCGACTCCATTCAGCTTCTCCAAAGAGCGGCTGGCGAGTCACGGGTACACCGCGGTATGCAGGCGCGTCCGCAGAGGGGGGGCTAGGGGGCTATAGCCCCCTCCCAGATTGAGAGTTCGTAATGCTAAGATATAGGAGCGGGTCGCCATGTTGGAAATCAGCCCCATGCGAGGACCCGATCTAGCCCCCCCCCAAGAAGAATCCTGTGAACGCCACTGGCGGTATGCACATCGTTCGCACCCATCTTCGTGCCGTTCGTCGCTCGGATCCTCAGTTTTCCGGAATAGATCCGAACCGTCGCACGCTAGAGAAGGGCGGCCGGGATGACGATCTATTTCCGGACTCGAGTTCGAGCGAGAGAGTTACAGTCGAGTGGCCTCGGTATATCCAGTGGTGGATTCGTGTGCGAACGGCCCGGGGCCACGGGGGCTATTCGGTGGACTCCGTTCAGTCTTTGCTCCGCTTGTCAATCGAATCCTTCGCTTAGACATATACACCAAGGTCCGGGGTACCGAGTTAGCAGAGCTCATCTTTTTAGACTTCGATTGAGCGAGCCCTCCGCTCAAAACCACGATGGCCGGCTCCGATTCGATGCAATTTAGCCAAGCCCATTGAATAGCGATTCCAGCAAGTCGTAGTCTCCCGGGCGCTCAGCCGAGGTCGGGAGCAGCGGCATCACTCGCCCTCGTGGACAATCTCGCGCGGCATAGTGGAAGACACCGAATGGGACAGATACGCAAACATTTTTCTGTTTTCGTTCGTGCATTCAGCTCTCCGCGCAGGTTCTCAATCGGAGACTCATACGAGTTCCATGCAAAACGATAAGCGCCGCGGCTCCGGGTGGAAACCATAATCGAAATCAATTGTTCTGCAGGAACGATTTCAGCTGGATACGAACAATCAAAGATCGTCACGAGCTTGGAGGGAACCGCTCAAGTCTTCCTCTCGATTCCCTTCAGTGATTCGTCTAAAACGGAAAATTGCGCCTCTCAACGCGAGATTTCCGTCACGGGAGCTCGCGGAGAAACAGAGATATTATGTATTTCGCTTATGGTCGATGCGAAGATTGTCTTCGAGCACCGCATGCGAACAGGCCGATGTTGGCATCAATAGTCGAACACATCGAGGAATCTCTTTTGGATCTCGCCGCCGACAACAATGAAACGAGCCAACAAGGGAACCAGCGACAGCGTGAATCGTGTCGTCCCGGTGCTGTACTGTTTTTTAGGCTGTCACTCACGCATCTTCGCCCGCACGCAAGTGTCACGACGTTACCTCTGCGTGCTTGGAGCGATTACATGTCATACACCTCGCAGAACCTTGACAAACCGCAATCCTTTCGAACACGTCCCATCGCGCTGATTCTGAGTCAACTCGCCACAAGACTCCCCATTCCGTCCCAATCCCGTTCCCGTTCCATTTATATAAACTCCGACGCGTAGACCACCATTACGATGCGTGTCATTGACGCCGGGAAGAAATCCCAGAGGATCGAGGTCTATGTATGCAGGAAAGTTCGACGCTCCTCAAAGTTTAGTTACGGCGCGTTCGTATGCGACACAATAATAATCTTCTAATGGTCAGGAGGACCCTGAAAGAACTGAATGCTGACCTGTTTTTCTGTCCAGCTCTCACGGAACGCTCTCCGGAGCCCGCCTCAGGTCTCTCATTCGAATGCATGCTTGTTGATTCAGGCGAGGTCCTTTCTGTTGATGCTCCGACGGGACTGGAAGCGGTTGTCGTATCTTCAACAGAATTGGAAACTCCCAGGAAGGCTGAGATGAATAGCCATTGTGGACGAACTCCCCCAGTTTACGGTTTCCTCCTGTATTATTAGACACAAAGCTTCGCACATCGTGTGTTGAACTGCTTGAACGGTGCATTCTAACAGAGTGGGTCCTGTCTCGGGATGCTTTTTGCTTTGAATAAAAGCGTCTAGTCAGCCAGACAACAAGAATCGGTACCGTCTCAGTCAACTGTGCTGCTGCTTCGATAACTCAGGAACAGAGATCCATTGATATATATTATGCTGCAAACGACGCCAGGGTCTGCGGCCAATCGAAAACGACACGCCACGTTCTGACCAAGCGGAGTTCCGTGCCTACCTGAGCTCGCGTTTTCATCTCCATGGCCTTCTAAAGGATAAGTAGACATACGGACACTCCCCTATAGATTCAACCCTCGATCCCTAGAAGGGCGTTCCGAATCGGGAGTGATTCTGATTCTTGTTGACAAATTGAGAGGCTTGGACCAGTTCGAGGGATCGAGATGAGCGTCCGCGTCCCAGCCTCGGGATTCTCCGCGACGCCCACGCCAGGTCAGGGTGGGCGGAGCTCCGTTGCTCATCGCTCCTGAAAATCCCCCCCCCCCCGCAGGAAATCCGGGCTGAGAGGGCCTATCGTTCAGCTGGGACGGTAGATCGGGGCACTAGAGGCTGCGAAAAGTCCTGCGAGCGCTCTGTTCTCGGACTGAGCGCGAATTGTGGGCAAGCAATCCATGCCGAACAGACTCGCTCAAGTTCGCGAGGTTCTCCCCGCGGCTCGCAAGCGCGGCGTCGCCATCGGCAACTCCGACTATCGCTGAATGAAGTCCACATTCTGGAAATTAGGTGGAGGGATCCCGGTCGATCAACGACCGCGAAGAGGCGCTGCGGACACGTAGAGAGCTCCGATTCATAGAATGGGGACCGATCACTGACTCTCCAAATGGTCGTTCCTTCGAAGCGGAGAAAATCGAATGTACTACGGAGACGTCAACTCTCAGGAGTTATTGATCGATCAAGCGCTGTGACTGAAAACAACTGATTCACATCATTTCTTGTCGGTCCCATCGGCTTCTGTTTCATGGGGCAAGCGGAGAAAGGAACAATGAGGGTCGTTTGCTGCAGTCGTCTTATTGAGTCCGGGAGAGCGAGCTCTGTCGATACCGATTTGAGTCAGGTGCATTGGAGGGAATCCCGCGCTCTAAAGGCATCCAAAATCTATGACAATTGTGCGGTCGAATGTATCCAATCCGCTGGATGAAGGCACGAGTTCAGAATTATTTTCTGATGGACAAGACGAAAAACAGAATGACTCGATTCTCGAAAGCGACCATATTCATTCTGTCTCGGGGAATTCCCAAAAGCTGAGCGCTAGAACAATCCGATAAACCCTGTCAATGACTATGAACGTGAACTCGCTGTATAGATTGACAGCTCGATTGATTCAGATGGACCATTTCAATCGATCCATCCTAGTCCGCAACATGGTGCGAATCTGGTTTGTTGCGTGACTTCATCGCTCTCATGAGTGGTACATGGTAAAATAGCGAAGGCGATAGAGCACTCCGCGCATCCCAGGCGGATTTTCATGCAACAGACTGATGATCTCTCATACGTGAGAGACCCAGTCCGAATCCGGCAGCCGGCTTCCTCCGGCTATAACTATGTCCGAGGTAGTATTCCTTGGAAAGTTCGAGGGTACCATGCAGAATTCTCTCCACTTTCGGGTTCATGTCCAGTTTGCATCGACGGAGAACTTTCTCGGCAACAGGACGGGTTCGCGTGACTTCGGCAGACTACTGTTATGGGAATTTACCTCTCCGCCTCGACGCCGATTAGCTCACTCACTACCAGAGCGCGTGTCGGAGGGCCTCGCGACGAGATCAGCATCTTTTGCATTCAAATCACAGCGCTGAGAGAGGATACGTGATATAACGTGACTCCCCGAGCACGGGCCGGAGCGATATTTTCCGCTAAGACTTATCCTGTCCACCGACGTCATCTGGAGTAATCAGGACTCTTGCGAGGTCTATGAGCCCCGCGAAGTCATGCAGCGATCTGAATTCGCTATCGAGTTGACCCTAAGAGCTCGCGGTCTTCGGAATGACCTCATCACGGGTTCTTCAGGTGTACGAATATTTCTCGAGTGAAGCGTTCGCCTGCACCATCTGCATTCCGAGACGTTCGGGTATCAGCTTCGGTATCCTGCCGGAGAACTCACTGGTCCCAGCTAGAATATCGATCGAGAAGATCCTGCCAGTGGGACCGTGGGTTTCATTTTGGATGCGCAGCGTGAGCTTTCCTCAGGGGTGACGACGACCTCAAGACCACCGAGCTTCGCCAGGGCCCTCTATATTGAATTGTAGGATCGTCCGACTCAGGGCAGGAGAGGAGCAGTCAATATTTCAGGGTGACAAATCCTCCACAGGATCATCCGTCTACCTCTCGACCAGCTCTTGGAACAAAATATTTTGTAGAAATCAGATCAAGACCGATCGTCTCAGATGTAGAATCTCAGCCACGCGAAACATCGTTCGGCCGAGCTTCTGGAAAACGTCAGGCTCAACCACAGAGTTCTTGAGGGGGCTCCTCACATCCATTGATCGCTTGGGTAGCCGAGATTTCAATATTTCACGGACAGCACGTGTAGCTCATAGGTCTCTCGTGAGTTCTCGCTCCGGAGAAGCAGACGGCTCTATACAATCGCGGATCCCCGGTATGGATCGCTTACCCATGTGGCATCGTGACTGAGCCAGGTTTCCTTTTCGAGATTTCTATGAATTCATCTTTTGGGATTCCCGCATTGGACTGTATGAAAGAGAAAGGAGCGCCGAGCTGGGAATCGATATATTCTACCAAATGCATACCCTTTGATATCCTCGGCGAAGAATGAGGAGCTGCTCCGGAACAATGAACTTCTCGATCATGAATATTGAAAGTCATTCTCGGGGTCGATACCAGATAGCTACGGTTGTAGGGATGTCTCCGTGACTTTATTCGCACAATCACCGGACCTCGCTTCCTTTTAGTCTCAGTCGTTAGCGTGTTAGCGGCGCGATGGAGTTTCATTGACCCCAGGCGCTCAGGAGAGTGTATAGGGACAAGACGGAGGCCATGAAGGCGATGAGGAGAGGTTCACTGCTGGCCGAGAGCGGATTTGAGTTGCTCAAGTTGCAGAATGTGGAGTTGCAGCAAGAAGTGCACAATAGCTTCTCACCGTTGAAACCCATCGGGACACACCCGGAGCGACAATCATCGACGCATTTCCGTTGTATCTCTCGGGGCTGCGCGTTGGTGAGAAGATCACGAGAGCTATCCAGACGGATGACCTGGGGAAGTTGACGACTCAATTAGCTCAACCAGACAGGGGCCTCTCCCGACTCCATGGAGTTCACTCGGCTTACCGCACATGCGCCTCCATTGCCGGTTTTCTGAGAGCACAATCGTCCTTCTTTGGTGATCATCGACGGATCGTAGCACATCGGGCCGTCGATGTCCGAATTACATTCATAGCAAGCGATTTCCGATGTATCCAAGAACGAGCGATCGGCCTCGTTGACTATGGGGTCTTCATCTGGGATAACGCAGATTCAGGTTATTGCTGCGATAATCCTCAGGAAGACGCAACTCTGAAATTCAGAGATCAGGAGAGCCTCAATCGGGATTATGCGAGGTACCGGAGAGTAGGTCGTACCTGCAAGGGCAATCTGCAAGGTGCAACTTGCGAATAGGACGATACAGCGGAAGAACATTGTCAAGTCCAGACAACTCTGATGCGGTCCACTCAGTGACTCTGGATGTTCGAGCGATTCCTCGAGAAGCGGGATCTCATTACGTGATCGGAAAGGGATGAACCTTTGATCGCTAAATTGATTCAGGAGGAAAAGGAGATTCCAATCAAGATCTGGATATCCGGCTGCGGGAGGGATGCGAGAACAGCACTCGGGTCGACGCCTGAGGACTCTGGCGAAGATGCCAGGGAGCTCGAGCCCTTCCTCGCGTCCCCAGTGTTCTATGGAAAGGCTAGGAAAATTGAAATAAAAAAGTCAAATTGTGGCAATCGGTGGCATTCCTCGCTTATTGAGTCGGCACGATCTCAATGTATGGCATTATGAATGGAATTGTCAATATACGACTTGTCCCACCTGAATGCGTCGTCTGATCAATTGCTCATCACGACCGTCCGGGATCGACGGGCGATGTCACGAAGAAGGACATATTCAATTACTCGTCCTCATCGACACGAAAGAAGGATTCGGAGAATATTGCGGGTCTCATTCTTCTGTTCCCTCATGCTCATTAATACCATTACTGCTGCTCGGTTTTTTTCCTAATCGGTTTTGCGTTATGCTACCGGATAGAATAGGTACTGCTCTCATGTGGAGAACCCAGCGAATGGAGGCTGTGGCGCGCAAAAAGCGACATGAGCCGTGGGAGCCACGCGGCACTGAGGTTTGTGTCGACCACGGACAAGCCTATAAAGTTCGAGCCGGCATCCGCTCGAAACGCAGGTGGTTCCCGCAAGAAGGAACCGACTGTCGGTACCAACGGTCGCCCGCTTGATCCAAGATCCGGAAGGCTAAGCAAGGGGCAAAGGCGGCTGGGACCGATGAGATCTCTAGGTACCACGTCGCGACGTGGGGCCAAATCGATTTTTAGGTGGACTGAAGTCCATGGGAATCCATTCCGGAATTTTGATCGGTGATGGGTTCGGAAATGCTCGTGAGACTCTAGAAGTCGCGAGAGAACCATGATTACCGAATTTTCCGCATCCCCCAGCCACCCTGGCGCCTGCGAGAATGGAACTGAATTTTTTCTTTGACGACAATTTCTAGGAATTTCCCCCCTCCCCAATCGCTGATGCTCGGAAAGGAAGATACTTTGTGCCCTCGAATTGGGGGAAATAATTTTCTGCGCTCAGTTCCCGTCCTGATCTCGCAATCCCGCATGATTCCGGTCAAGTCAGCCGATTTTGGACTTGCTGGGGAGACTTTTTCGCCGGGACGAAAAAGTTCGGAGTTTCGTTTGATTCTCGATGTCATAAATGCAGTGTCCCCACGTGTCCCCCCTCTGATTTATTTCTTCCTGAGGAGTATCGGACCCCGTCTCGCCGCAAAAAAAAATTGAGGCGCGAAGCCCAGCGGTTCTCGAATTTTGTCTGTCCGAAGTTGGGATTTGATCTCGTAGATCGGGACCATTCTCACGTAGTTTTTCGAATCCGAATCAGCGTCGGAGCCGATTGACGCTTTTTTCCGTTCGGAGACGCAAGCGTCGCGTCTTGGCGCGGCGTTGACTCGTTCCCAGAGGTAACTGGAGACTGGAGAGCGACATTGTTCTCCAACTCATATCCACCAAGATCTTCAGATCCTCCTATAGTCTCTATGCGGCGATTCCCACGGAGTGGAAACTCCGGTTGCAGAGGTGCGATGCTGACTCGACTACCACTCATTAACAGAAGGTGTTGAATCGATAGAAGACGACGATGCTGGACCCACAGAAGAGGAATCAGAGGGCTCCGAGCTCCGAGTGAGCTCCGAGTGAGGCAGCTTCTGCTGGCTCGAGCGATTATTCTGCTGTCGATGAATGAGTTTTACGGAGCTGAAGAAATCCGAGTAGAACAAAAAATGAACTCCTGCCACGATAACTCATATCATGTTTTTTTCTCATATTGTGAGCTCATCCCGCTCGCTGTGGTGTTGGAAATGCTTTCAGCAGTCTTCCTCCGCTCCATTTCAGACTCCCAAAACCTTAGAAATCCGAAAAAATTACATGGAACACTTATGTTCACTTAAAATCCGATTTGGCCTCACTGTGCGTCGCTTCTTCGGTTATCGTTCCTGAGAAACATGTCAGATGGAATACTTTTTAGTATGAATCTTATGATCGGGTGACTTCCCAACAAAACTTGATTCACCTCGATTGAAATATCCTGCATCGGAATTAGGTACTTATATTTATATATCGGAGATGAAGGGCGACCGGGCACCATGGATTGGCTTCAGTTAGCACAGAACTCGCTCCCCACTCCCCACCCTCTGAGGCCATGGTCAGACCCGCTAATCGAAGCTCCAATCCCCGAAAGTTGTGTTCAGCGATGCTTAAGATTTCTTTCTACCCTCGACCTCCCGTAATACGCATACGGGGGCGGGGGAATATAGCCATCGAGACAAGCGAGCTTAAGGATTGAGTGTAATGTCGGAGTGAGCTGAGGTGATGGTGATTCGTCGACACATGACGGCCGGAGTGAGAGAGGGTGAATAAATCCGCCAACTCGATACGCCATCATAAATCTCTCAATCTCGAAAAGGATCCCCTAATTTGAAAATTCAGTTGGCGCCGCACTCCGACAGCCGTTACGCTTGTTCAGACGCGCAGATCTTCGCTTCTGTCGAAACACGTCCGAGATCCCAGATGAAGTCCTCGAAGATTCCTCGACCTCTCGGGAAACCCGATGACCAGCGCGATATCTTCACCAATGCCGGCTTATGGCAGCCTGAGTGAGTTTCGTATTCCAATCATCAATTCTACTTGAATCGAGATCGAGAGTCGAAGAGCGTAATTTTTCCCGTAATAGTTGCGTCAGTGATCAGCCATCATGCTCTATACGAGCTATTTCGCAATCATTACGGAAGACCATGACTTGGAAGGGGTTATCAAGCGGGTTATATTTTTCCAGGCCTCGCGCTATTTTGCGCCGTTTCGAGCCCGGGGAGTGCACACCCCTTGACGTCGGCTCCCCGACGGCTCCGCCTCCGCCGCGTATGGCGTCAATGGAGCGTACGATAGACGTCACGCTGGATTGTTCAATAGAGAATGGACGACGCTACGATACGTTCTGCGTCTTCTGCAGGAACAATCGACTACCGGAAGAGTTCTATCGCAGCCACCCACTGAAAGATAACCGGGGAAATGTGGTGTGCCCGATACTGCGCAATTACAACTGTCCCTCGTGCAACAACGGCGGTGGGGATCGCGCGCACACCGTGAATTATTGTCCGAAAAAACGAGCTCAGTACTTCGATTCGTTCATGAAAGGGCAGAAGCTGTGAAATGAGAAGCTGTAAAATTTTTCATGTAAACATGATTATGAGTTCGGGAGTATTGTAAATAAAGAAAACGTACTGTTTGATTGCCCAATGACACGCTTTTCCGTTGAGTATCAAGCATGCACAAGTCGACAAGGTCCTAGCATCGGGAGAAACTTGTTGAGATGAGCGGGACTCGTATGCCGATCCTTCGACAGGAATCTTTCCGCGAGGCAGCATCGATGTATGCAGCTGATTCTTGGGCTCCGGCCGATTGGAACATTGGACTCCAATGGATTCGTACTAGAGATACGAGTCTGTAGAGGTAGAGTGTAGAGTAGGCTTTGCAACAGCGGTTATGAACCGCAATTGCGGTTTTCCTTCAGCATGGAACTCTACGGGGGACAGCGAATGAGTGAAGTCAATAACCGCGGTTTTTCATTGGATATGCGGTTCTTCGCGAAGCCCAGAGCATAATGAAGAATCCGATTAGGCGGAGCTCGCTGTGATCTATTTCAAGATGAATTGGAGCACGTCACATCCGATTTTCTCCGCGCAGATTGCATTCAGTCACTGAAGGGAAATCTTCACCTTCACGCCGAATTACTCCCCTGGGAAAGCGTTCGCGATTCCGAGTATATGAGAACGGCTGTGGAGCACTGACATGATACCCGCAAATCTCTACCAGGAAGAAGGATATGGCGCTTGTTCCTCGGTATTGCGAGGACAATGCATCTCTGTGCCATCAGGGGTTGCAACTCCTCAAGGAAAGCTCGAGGCTAGTCGCGACAGATTCCAGGATATATTCCCCACCCTCAATTCGGAGGGAGGAGCTTCAGAATCCCTCAATCTCCGGAGACCGCGATGATTTTCAGATGAATCTTGCGGGAGCTCATGGACGCTTCGAGTTTCGCGGGCGATTTTCGAATTCCGGCGGCAGCGAAGATCATTCCATCATTCACGCTAGCTGCCGCTGCTGCGTCGATGATATGGCGGCTGCTGCGGCGTCGTACCACTGTGTGTATTTAGATTTGTCTCGAGCAGCGCTGTGAACGGACACTCAGTCGAGGTTCCGATGATCGGGGAGTCACAGCGCCTACATTAAATCCGGAGCTGCCGAGTCACGTTTTAAGCCGAGGAAGCGAACTCAGACACAATGACACAGTTTTTGCCACCGAATCTTCTCGCGCTTTTCAAAGCGAGAGATCCTATACCTTTTTTGCATCCCATCGGCAAGCTCCCTCATGAGAAACAGCAAGAGACCTACATCGGCGTCGGGACCTTCATAAGATACTTCGAGGTAAGAGAGAGAATCTCCGATATTTTGAGCCTATTACGCTCCGAGAAATTCCGGAGTTTCGAATCCTGGATTCGTGACGAGATATTTCCCGCACGAGACCTGACGTCTCATGTCGGCCAGCTGAAATCCACACATGGGAAAAACCATCATCTTTCAGGATCCGTCGGAAACGCCGCCTGCTATGAGAGTAGAGACTCGGGAAGAACGGAGGGAACGACGTAAGAAAGAGAAAGCCGAAGAGACAGCCTATCAGCTGGAACAAGCGATCGCTCTCTGGGACCCAAACAATAACCCCAAAGCAACGGCAGACCCTTTTAAGACCTTGTTCATTGCTCGCATCAATTACGAGACCTCTGAAGGGAAATTGCGTCGAGAATTCGAGCAATACGGCGCAATCAAGCAGGTTTGTGTAATTTACGCGAACGTCCCGTACCAGTCTCCGATCTGAATCGTTCTCCGCCGCATGAGTTGCTCCCTGTCGCTTGGCGAACGACTTCGTCGCCATTTGATTGGAGCGATTCCCTCATCAGGCTTTCCCTTCCGTAGGTCTCCTTGATACACTCCTCCATAAGCAACAAACCGAGAGGTTACGCTTTCATTGAGTACGCACATGAGCGAGACATGCACGGTAAGTTGTTCGCCCACTCTCAGCCGTCTTCACCCCGGGCAAATCTCTGAATTTGAGCCGAACGTTTTCTCCTGTTCGCGAAACATCGTCGAGGCGAAATCGCTGAGCTTTAGGTAGATCGGGAAGATTCGCGCTGCCGAGCGACCGAATTCTGAGACAGATGTAGCCGTCTGGTAAGAATAGTTGAAAAATCGCTGAGGGTAAGAGTCGTGGAGGTGCGAGATGCCCTTTTGAAGGTTTCATGCGCTCCAATTCATCCGCTATGGCGTGATGGTAAAACAATTAGTGACATCGGGAGTTAGCCATTTGAAAATTGGTAAGGACAAGCACCTACCGAAGCGCTGTGATTGGTGGTAAGGACATTGGTATCTGAACCTGGTTTCTCTCACGGTAAGACTGGTCAAGTCCGTTCTGGAGGTCGATAGAGTGGCCTCTCCGCACTTTGAGTTGTTTAGAACTTGCCCCGTGTAAGTATTTTCAGCCCACCCCTTCAAGACTACAAGTCAGGTAATCTTGGTATCTACGGAGGCAATTTTGCGCTGATCAGCCGATTTTTCGGCTCCGGTCTTAGAATTGCGTTTTTTCGCCTGACGCCGTTGTTGTGTCGAACGATCCTGCAATTTGAACGAATCGGCAGAATCTTGATACAGTCAGAGAAAACCAGTCCCTATGATCTCTCAGGAACCACGAAATAATGCGCCAACCGAACTATTAGAACGATCCTTTGCCGATCCGTCGAATAGCCGTGAATCCTCCCCGACCCGACAGAGGTTATTCTGGTTTTCAATTTTCGTTTGGTCTCTCAAACTTGTACTCACGGTAAGGGGTACGCCCGGTAGAGGTGGTAAGTTTGCTGGACTTGGAGTCCCTGCCTTTTGGCAACAGGCATCACCTTCTCGTCGGAGGTAAGCCACAGCAGAATCGGCTCAGGTAACTCATCCTTCGTTTCGTGGGCTAAGTACACCGAATTTCGGAAAAAGAAAAGACTAGAGCACCAGAATACGGTCAATCTGTGGACCTTGAGCTTCGTCCCCGCTGCGCAGGGGTTGAACGAGACTTTGCTTGACGCCGTGGCGTCCGATTTCGAACCGACAGCGAGTCGCCGATGACATTTGTCCTGAAGGGGACGCGAGTTTGCGAGGCGGTTAGACTTCTCTGGTTCCTTCGGAGTAACGAAGGCTGAGCGGTTTCTCTCCGGAGCGAGTCGATGCGTTTTAGACGGGAGAGTGCTTTGAGCACTTCGAAAGGCGTGATATGTACTCCTTTTCCGGAGCTCATTGTGTCCTATGGAAGGTCATTCTGGTCGAGCCTTTGTATAGTAGGAACGGTGAGTATAGGTGCCCGTATGTAGACGAAGCCTACATTTTTGGTATCAGTGTCGATTGATTTCCACAGCTGCCTACAAACACGCCGACGGTAAGAAGATTGATTCGCGACGAGTCCTCGTTGATGTTGAAAGGGGTCGGACCGTGAAGGGGTGGCTACCAAGAAGACTAGGGGGTGGTCTGGGTGGAACGAGAAGAGGGGGACCCGACGTAAATGTAAGGCATTCCGGTCGCGAAGATAACAACAGAGAAGAACGCGCGGAGCGTGGAGAAAGAGGTGAACGCGCCAACGGCGACAGAGATCGTGAGCGCGATCGTGATAGGTGAGTTGGAATCGGTTCTCCTGCGATGTCCCCTGAACGAGCTCCAAGACGCCAATTAGGGAGCGCTTCAATATTCAACGCAGCGACCATTTACTTGGACTGAATCTAGCTCGTCTTTTCGCAGGGATCGTCGGCGCTCAAGAAGTCGCGACCGAAGAGATCGCCGTGGCGGGGGCGAGAGACCCGACAGGGTTGATCGCGACGACAGAAGACGCGACAGGAGAGATCGAAGAGAAAGGAGTCGCGACAGAGAAGATAGAGACAGAAAGAGGAGGAAGAGCCGTAGCAGGTCCCGGGATGATCGGAGGAAGGCTAAAAGGTTTGTTCTCCTTTGGCTTTTAACGAGAGGATCCCAAGCAGATGGAGCGTCCCATGGGGAGCCAGATCATGTCCGGATGCTCAGCTTAAGTACATTTCGCTCGAATTTTCACAGGTTTGAGGATGATGGCAGGTTTGCTAGAGGTCCCGTAGACGATCGAGGTGAGAGGCTCGACGACGATAACAGAATGCCGTTCCCTGGGATGGGTGACAATAGAGGAATGGGCGACGGTAGAGGAATGGGCGAAGACCCCGATTATCGAAGTTCGTACGTTGGCGATAATGGTGAAGTGTTTCATATTAAGCAGGAACACGAAATTAAACATGAGGTCGACTATTGAATGACAGGAATCTGTCATTCCGTATAGCTGTCGACCAGAGTCGGATTCGGAATGAAGTGATCATAAATAAAAGAGTATCCCATGAATCAGAGTTGTTCTCTTCCCGAATCAAGGCTGGGCATTTCCGTCGCGAGAGCTTAAGCATCGTCTAATTTCCTGTGTCGCAGAAGGATCGGAATCAAAGCATCACTGGCCAGGCTCCGTGTTCCCCCAGAACACTCAGCGAACGCTTCAAAGCAATTGGTACTGTTGGTGTGTCTTGACCTGAATATCATGAAGGGACTGCAGAGTCCTCGAAATCGAATAGGAAAACCCCCGGGAGACCCCGGGTAGAGACGGCTACCTGACCGTGGCACAACGCCATGAGGTGCGTTCGGTCATTTTCACATCGGTAACATTCCGATCGATCGGTCAGTCTCAGAGGATGCACCGATTTTCGTTCCGGTCTTCAGAAACACGCTGGAATTTATTCTTCTAATTCCTTTTGTTTGGCATGGGTTTTGTCGGCAAACAAGGCGCTTATAAAACAAATAGTAAAATCAAAAGTCCTTAGGTGTTTTCGAATGGTCATTAGTTGTGCTGATATCATTCCTGATCATGAAGATATGCTCTTGCCGTCAGTCGCGGTTGAGTTCTCACGTTCTTTTCCTGTGTTTAGTTCTCCATCTCACCTCTGCAGGTTTAAAAATCTTAGATTAAAGCATGCCGCTAGTCTCAGATTGTTTCTGTAGTACGAGCCCCGACGATGGCTATCTACGGTACGTCTTTTTCCAGTGCGCAGTGATACTGTCCTGGGTTATGAAGTTTCCTTTTCATGTTTTCCATACGTCTGAAGGCGGACACTCGACTGTGATATCCTTTCCAGTCCTCTGGCTGAGCCCAAGACTGCGTTGCTTGAATCAAACGTTCTTGATTCTCCTGATTTGCGGCGTAGGCGGCAGCCACGCACAGTACGCTTGGAGATGCCAGGTGTGTGTAAGCATCGAGCGTGCTGCATGCTAGCTGAAAGAGCCGAACTTATTCGACGGTGTCCACACGGAGAGACTTCGACGTGCACACGGGCCCTTGCGCTCGATCAGAAGTAAAATCGTTCCAGCTCATTGGATCTTTTTGAGATTTGATGCAGAAATCTAAAGATGCCTCATTCCGCCTTGGATCCTACCTCTTGACCATTCAGGGCTCTACCGACGTTGTTGGCAGTCTTGTAGGCTGGACTGAATGCCATGACGTTGCTCTGTGTTTCCTCAGCCATTTCCAACGGATTACACATTCGAATCTAGAGGGGCAAAAAAGCTCGTTTCGATGAGGTGAACTCTTCGGCTTTCCCCTCGGAATTCCGAAATTCCTTCGGACTCTGCTCCTACCTGATACAACCCGCTCCGGTCCCAAACAAAGCCGAAACCAGCACTTTTTAGTGGTTTCTCGATGAGTTTCACGGGTTTCGAAGAGTTCAAATACGCAGCTGTTTTCCTTTCACTCTGAAGAATAACATTCGTCATTGGTTGCCCATTCGAACAGGAATCACGGGTGCAATCGCGGAACCCTGATTAGTTCTCTTCATTGGATCCCTTGTCGTATGGCGAGCGAAATCGCGAGCGGAACACTTACTTGCAAAACAGTTATTCGACCGAGGAACATGAGGTTGATCGAAGACATGCCGTCCGGAACTTCGATTCTCGTTAGCGGCGTGCACGCTATCCCATTGAGTCCGTATACTGTGCTGCCGTAGAGCACGTAGAGTACGTGACGATCGTGCGATAGACAATGTCCCCGAAGGGTAGAGCCACAGGCCTGTGGCGAGAATTTCTCGGTTGACACGTGGACGACGTCGGTACTGTCCGGTGACCAGTATTCGCCAGACATTCCCATCTTATCCTCAGAGGGAATGTCTTCTATGGCTTCGGTCGCGCCTCGTAGACCATCGACGGCGCGACTATTTTGATTAATTGATGCTTGATGGAATATTTCTCGGAAGCTGACGAAGAGAGTCCCGTGGTTGTTGAAGAGAAGTATGAACGAGTCGATTTTCACCTTAAAATCAAGGAGAACCTTCATCCATGCGGTCAGCGATGTGATACAAAATTTGAATTTCCATTCGGTGCGGTTGGCTCACGGCTGGGGCTCACACCTACTTCTGGTATGCACTGAGGCACGGATTTGAGTAGAACTCGTTTCTGTCGTCTCTGGATATCATACAAATGTACATTGTAGTTGTGGCCTTGTCGGACGGGCCAGAAGAGTGCGTTGTAGGTTCGTGAATAAGCTATGTCCCGGCACTGAGTTATATCCATATCAGTGGCTACACAAATCAGCTTCTCCCAATGCTGAGTCCCGGCAGTATCGAGGAAAAGAATATGCAATGTCCCATCGCTGCAGAGTACACCTATTCGGATGTGGCCTTCGTGGGACAAGTTTGTGATCTGGAAAAAATCGTTTGAGGAACTAATGTTTCCACGATCGACGAGGATAGGTCCCGGAAGAGGATCACAAAGCTCGTGGATAACTCGATCAAGCGCGCGCCATCCGACAACCCGACGGAAATTGAACTCATCGCGGATACACTCTGGAGAATTAGGCTTCCTGATAAGTTGACAGCAACTCACCTCAACAATGCTTTTCCGTAAGCTATAGATCGGCTTGCCGGCGTAGGTAGGATTGTCTCTCGTTGCCAGACAGCAGTAAAGTTTCCGATTGGCGCTCTCGAGCAGTGTGTAGAAGACATTGTTCGGCCGTATGACGCAGATTCTTGTGACCTGTTCTCTCTGTAATCGACTTTCAAGAGAAGCGGTTTCTGCGGTCCTTCTCTGAAAAAACGGAACAATCTGTATACATTCGCGCTTGGGGAGCTCCATTTCAACAGGTCACTGGCGAATGCCGGGCCGCATAGAAGCGTCTGCTAGCTTGTCACTCGGTTGTCTAAGTATTATCCCCTTTCCAAAAACAAAGAAAAGAGAGACCAACACGGATATTCGACTGTGTCCATCGTCACGTGCATGCCGCAGCACATCACTGGGCGGAATGTTTCTCGCGCATGACGTCGTCGTCGTCTCGAGAACTTCGAGTGCGTCATCGAATTTCTCGGGGCATCGAGGGATTCTCGGGAACCATCTGATTAGAATTATCAGATGTTCCGCGCGCAATGGACCCCTGACTCGGTCGAAGTCGGCGACTTCTCTCGGATCTTCGCCGCTTCCTGACTAAAACAGATCGATTGTTTGATCCGACGCAGAGCTCCGATCATTCACCGCGGAACGACCGTTCAAGGCAATGATTGACCCAATGAACCATTCGCTAGCATAGGATAATCGATTCCGTAAAGTTGTACAGTCAATTCGTTCCCTACAAGACTTTCGTCACGAGGAAGCTGACCACTTTCGCCGCCGAATCGAAGAGCCAGACAGCTAGGTAGACAAGTCAGCAGAGGTTCGAGCTATCGGAACGAGTCATCGCTGAAATTCGAGTGAATTCGAGAAGTTCATAAAACTTGATATCGCTGATGATAATGAGTTCAAGGGGTTCATGGCGAACAAATCACATCGAGGACTGACTTCGAATCCGAGACCTAAGAACATGGTGCCCGTAATGAGTAATAATAGGAGATGGGAAGTCGGGCTGATGTAAAACCCGAGAGACAATGCATGTGAGTACTGAGCAATGTCATGGGTTTCATCTGACGTTAGTTAAGCGTCTGCCTGCGTCAGGAGAACTCTTCTCCGACGTGCCTGTCATGATAACAAAGAGGATCAAGTCTAACTGCATCAGTCATAGGGTTCTCGCGACTGCATAGCAGAGAGGAAATAAGAGAGCTGTGCAGTTAATGTCAGGTAAGATTCATTTGGAAGAGCACATTTCCCGTTAGTCGGAAGCCATTGATAATGTCAGGTGATTAGCGATGTTGAGCCCGAGATGCGAGTGGATTGTTCGGAATGTAGATAGGCTCTCTGAGGAGACTCTCCACCGGCCGATCGCGGTCTCCCACCGGGAGGGTCCAGAGGCGTGGGAGCCAGCATTGTTTCTTCGTGGATTACAGCGAAACCCTTTCCGCCCCGCCCAGAAGAGTCGCTTCGGGTATTGCCATGTCCGGAGCGATGACACACGAGACAGTGACTGTCACTGAAGGCGACGAATTTCCTATCGCACTCAGCACTAAGGGTGAGATTCGTTGATCAGAGGACACCCGATATGCGAGCGCGGTCTGTGCGGTCAGCGGAATTTCAGGGCGATAGCCAATTTCTAGCGAAAAATCTGTACCAGCCGCAATATCTTCGATAGAGAGCAATGAATCGAAGAACCTACCGAGAATTTCCACCAGCCATTCACAAACGAAGGTCTCTAGACACCTTCGATCGCATCTTCTAGCTCCGCATCGATGGCGAATCGTACCTTCATCGATGAACTGGAGGAATCGGATTGATGATCTTCAGTAAATTTGAGAAGCTAAAAATGATCGCGATCGATTCGATACGCTCCGAATCACCCCGTCCGGGAGACGATGAATGACTGACTGACTAGGGAATTGTGTATCTATGTATCTAACGATGAATCGATAGTACACGGGAATCGGCGAGACCGGGAGAGCATGATAGTAGCAGCCTGATTATGGGCGGCAGAATATATATTCAGAAACCACTCTATTGCGGAGCGCGGCCCAGGCATGGCGTCAAGATCGCTCTGTCTCAATTTTCAAGTAACTGGGAGAGCGATGCCGAGAGCTTGATCATTTTCTCCCGCGTCTGGGCAGAACTATATAGGTATTGATTATCCTTCACGAGTTAGCGGCCATCGGGAAACCTCCGACGCGCCTTCCAGGGATATGCCAAATTTCGAAAGGTAGAGTCCGCAAAAAGGCTCGAAGCGGAGCCCGTTGTGCGCGACATCGGGACATTATTTCAAAACTTTAAAGCTGATCGAATCTGAAGTCTCGTATGGACACGCGCGAACATTAGGTGTCCCAGCGTTCATTCAAGCCGGCGAATCGGAAGCTCGCAGGAGCTCATCTCGCAATCTCGTACCACCGCCTCCGCCGATCTTCACGCGCGGTTCCGGACCCGCGATCGTTTGGCTCTCCGCGAGGGTTTTTGAGCTTTTTTCATTTGAAGCGGCCCCGGCTGGGCGGCCTTTCCATATCTGAACAGCGGTTTCCTGTTGGAGAGCTATCTACTTTTGAATATAACTTTCCCCGGCTACTCGGCCCGAGAGGCTCGGCCACTCGTTGACGATTCCTTCTGTCGCCGGCTGCGGTACCAGCAGCGGTAATTAGTGCATTGGGGCTGACGCTCGCTGCTAGAATCCCCTTCCCCATTGACGACGACATCCTCTCTTACCGGCCTTCTCCACCAGCAGCACGGTCCCGGTGCCACAGCGATCGTCTCCCGCGCTGTTCAAAACAAATCCGGTCCGGTGGAAAAGCGAGTTGCGTCCCGTCAAATGACACACACAGTGAGTGGACTCAGAACGTGACGGCTTAAAGTTGGTGAGAAGTGTTCAGCCTTCTACGAGCGGAAGATTTCGACCACCGGCTGGGCCAAGGTAGGTTGAGCGTGACTCGTACGCTAGAGCTCACCAGCAGAGGTCATCAGCTAGAGTCTATATTGTCGCTTGCCTAGAGCGTTAAATATAGCGCGCGGACACGAATGCGCGTGGGGCCATAGCACCATGCTCTGTAGTTTTTTTTTCTTCAATTCTTTTCTCATGAGAGTTCCATCGGCTGGAGGTTTGCTCGTCGGCTGTCAAGTTTAGGCGGAAGCTCTCCGCTAGTTGATGGGTCACTCCAAGCCTTTCGAGAGTCGCTCACGTGTTTAAAAATTCCAAGCTGACTCGGGCAGAAGGTGGAAGGTTCCTTCTGAGATGCTGGATAGAATCAATTCTATGATGAATAAATTAATTGCGAATGAATCGAATCCGACGGACAATTAATCCTCTCTTCGGAGTGAGACGCTTGCGAGCTCAATCAGATAGGGAACCTGTCACCCAACGTTCCATGACGTTTGACGTAGCGAGTCGACGTTAAGGCGTTTACGTGATCCGTTCGACTATTCCCGTTGTGTTCGACGCGAAGAGTCACTGTGCAACGGGTTCTGTTCGGTACGACCGAGATTAGTCATTTGGAAAGGAACGGTGGAATCGCGAGCGTGCGGACACACTGCCTGAGGCTTGGGATTGCCGCCTCTGCTAGTCTTCCCCGTCGACGAAATGCAACTACGGAAGCTTGAAATGAATGAAATAGATGGAACATCATTTTCTGCTTTGCACGTCACGTTGTAAACCCCGGGGGCGACAAGTCAATGGGGATCATTCGTGGGGTTCGACTTTCAGAAGGCACGGGAGCGCGAATGTTACAATTATTATTATCACACGCGAGCGATTCCAAGAGCTTCCCGTACCATCGAGAAATTTACGAACTCCCCAAACATTTCTACAGCGAGTCCGGAAGGACAGTAAGAGATCACTCTATGGCTTCTTGATTCCGATCTGAAGCTTTGCCGAAAGATCTATCGAGCCGACATTCACGCCGCTGTGGTCGGAGAAATTCGAGAATCGCCCCATATCGCCGCGACTCCAAATGAATCTCAGATGATTACGAAATCCCGCTTCTCAGAATTTGAACAACATGGGGGAGATACTCTTGCGGAGGTGTGAATTTCGCGTCGGGCATCATTCAGCTCTGGATTCACGCGGGTAGAGAGCACCATGAGTTTCGAGACCGCTCAGGCGACTGGATTGACGAACTCGCTGAAAAATAGCCGCTGATGCCCGATTCCTCGCATGAATTCGCGGAATCGTTGCCGATGGGTCCGATGAGGCCGATAGAGGTTCATTCAGGAGAACAAATAGCCAGGGGAGGCGGCTCATTCTGGCTATGAAAAGCTCGTTCTCTGCTCGAGCATGGTCGCGGGAGCGTTTCTGTGTTTTTTAAAGCGTCTACCCACAGTAATGAGCATGAGTGACGGAGCGCTTCGGGCAGCGATCATCACATCCGCGACTACAACCTCCTGCCCACTGCGGTTGATCATTTGTTGAATTGTATGGAATCGTCGCTCATTAGGCTCGGTCAGGGTTCGCTCGGAGGGAACGGTCAATTGACCGTTCAGTGCATCTGGCGCTTTGAGAGAATCATTCTCAGTGACCGCCCGGCGACGACGTATGTATGCTCTCGTTGTCGTCGTCGTCGCTGCCGTCAAAATCGTCGCGGTCGCTGATGCCGCTCCCGCCAACACCGCCCGGCAACCGTCGCGTCGGTCGCTCGCCGAGATTCGTGACCCCTCTGACGCTAACAATGGCGTGGTGTCTCCGACGACAGAGAAGAAAAGGGAAGACGACCGCGACGATGCTTGCCTGCCTGCCCAACTGCCTGTTTGCCTGGATGGCATGCTGAATGAAAACTTGAAGAACAATGCTAGCTGCATCTGATGGGAGGATAGTGAAGTTCGTCATCAGAAGTGGACCGGACGACGATGCCCACCGCAGCGGTCGTAACAAAACCTGGGGGTTGAAACGGGGTGAGACGTTCCAAACGAACTGAACGATGGGAGTGGCTGATTGCTTAGTTCCCTTCGTTTTCCCCCATTTCTCCACCGCAAGCACCATATGCTCCGGCGGCGGCTTCATTCTCCGTTGTTCTCCACGTTCGTTGTTGCCCAAATGACCAATCGCAACGCTCTCGTAGCCGGAAGAAATCCGAAGAAAATACCAATCTCTAGCGGCTGACAAATCGTGAACATAGTTCACCGCCCTCAGTCAGAACTACCGACGGACGGACTGACTGTTGGAGATTATTGCCCGTATTCGTCTATCTCTTGTTCTTGCCATGTGCTTATTGAGAATCTCGCTCGAGATTCTCAATGCGACGGTCGCACATCTTCTTACCGTCGAGATCTTTCGAACTCCATGCTCTCGGCCAAGTACCTGAATAGACAACTAAAGCGAACGCTGAGATCATCTACTAGAGGTACTCGAGAACGTTTCGAGATTCCGTCGTGGTTGACGTCGCGGCCGTCGCTGAAGTCCTCGATGTGTTGTGTCTCCAAACGGGAACGCTCTCACCGCTGTTGGTGCTACGGCTGCCGCCGCTGCGTCGACAACACAGAACATGAGTGGAGATAAGTTTCTTTATCAAACAAATTACTCTCCAATACCTCTCTATCTCACGGAATGTCCCACGGAACGGTCAAAATTGGTGATTTTTCAAAGTCGAGATGGATCGCTTCTTTTTCCGTGGCGTGATTGGAAGATGCGGTTTCTTTGTGGATGTCTCTGTGGTTTTCTTGAATGACGACAACGGACATCGGAGCGGCGCTCTTTTGTTCCAAGGTTGTCAAGAGCTTTCAGATGTTTATGATAAACTTGTTTCTGCCAAAAATGATCTTTGTACTCTATTGTGTACACGCAGCGAGTGGGTGTCAGTCGCCTCGGGCAACAATCGCACTCTGGCGCGCCTCGGCTGATGCCTTCTGACTTCTCGGGCAGGATCCAGAGCGGCGGGTAGAGAATTATTGTTTTCTCATGAGAGGATTTGTTACCTTTCGAGATCGAGCCGATCGATAGCGCCTACGAGCCACCGGAGTCCCAACACGGATATAAGTGGACGGGAAATCTGATCGGGAAGTACCTAGCTCAGAGCCAAATCGACAGAGAGGGTATGACCTCACTCCGACTTGGTCGAGATCGTACGAAGACCGGTTTTTTTTTCAGCACCAACTAACTAGAGGGTGTCTGAACTGGTGTACTCTTGGAACTAGGGTGCCCACTCTAGCGACAGGGATGAATCCTGGGGAGTGTCCTAGTCTTTGTGGGGAGGATCTCGAGAACGAGTCCCAGTTCGTAGCCGGTTTGTTCGTTCGCTCGCTCGCTCTCTCGCTCGTCATCTCTACGGAACCCATCCGACTTCCGTTAGGGGGCTCCGAACGGTGTCTGGAAGACCTTCGAGCCATCAAGCGACCGAGTTCGCAAACAAGCCATGCGAGCCAGATGTTCCCCAGGTGTTGTCCATCTCAAAGCTGTAGGCGGAATGGATGGGGTGGCGACTCTCTCCGCTGCCTGCCCCAATCTGGACCTTCCCTAGAATTCCTGATCCCGTGTAACGCGGCAGCAAAAACAACGATTCTCCAAGTACGACATCTCCAGGTCGAACATCTACAGAGGGAAGGCTGTGAGAGATCTCAATTAAGGTCTCCGTCGTAGCTCTCGCTCTGATTTGGAAAGCTCGGCTCAACATCGTCCCGAAGCTCCGGACCTATGTCTGACACGAATGCTTCTCGATATTTTCGAGAGCTCGGATCCAGGGTTTTGATTCGAGCGAGACCATTTCCGTCGCTATGGCCGTTCAGTCGTCGAGCAAGTACCTAGCTGGTTCTGATCGTTGGACGGAGCCGTCGGGATGACAGAGAATCGGGAAATTCGAATCAGCTGCCTGGACCTTTTCGGGTAAATCTGGGCAAGCCGCTTGGGGGTTGCGGGATCAAAGAGCTCCTCCAAAGAACTGATTCAGCCGCGACCCGATTGAATTATGCTTCCTCCTCTGGTGCTATATAGGTTAACGGTTCTTTCGAATTCCACTCAGATTCAAATGCGAAATGCTTCCACAATTTCATTTTATTACGAATTTTCCGTTTGACCACATTGTCGAGCCGAGATCTGTTGGTCGAGCTTCATTTCTGCCGAGCGTTTGAGGTATGCAATTTGAAAAGAGTGTTGGAACTTCTTGGTTTGGATGAAAATATCTCAGATAGATCTGGCGATCTGGAAACGACTCGTTGATGAAGATTGGGATTCTTGATTCTCGCAGCCGTTTTCGAGGAGCTGAGGAATCGATTCTCAATTATCTTCTCGAGATTTTTCGTTTCCGATCCTGATTTTCTGATTCGCGGCAAAATTTGCTTTGCGGTACCTATGGTACCGACAGCAAGGCCATTTCGTCGTGGTCACTGTTTGAGATCGTGTCGACCGTCCCTTGCCCCCGCAGGGGTTGGTTGTAATTGGATAATGCATCGTCGTTGACCGTCATTGCTCTGTTTTGTCAAGCAGCTCGCTTTGTATCACGAATCTTTTGTGTTCCGGAGCGTGCCGCTCGTTAGACCCACGAACGTCCACACAGATATATTGTAGGCACCAACCTGGGGACGGACGAACTAGCCTAAGTGTCCGCTTGACCAGAGTCACCGATGCCGACGCGTAGTCGAACAAAACAGATTTTCGTTTGCTGTAGAACAACAAGAGGTAAAATTTTCAAACAAACGAAGCTCGACGAATGACTCGTGAAGTCGGGCAAGAACACCGAGCATATTTGTTAGCCGACAAAGTGAGTAAGCGAGTGAGGCATCAAAATGCGCGCTTTTTTCACCTTATTCCGAGCCAGAAGATCCGAAGAAAAGACCAGGCCGCTCGTGATCCGGTGCGCTTTCTTTGGCCAGCCTCAGTGGCCCGACCGACCGACTCCGTGCATCGCGAGCGCCTTTGACGAAAATACGGTGCCTTGCCGCCGACATATTCATTGGGTCTTGTAAGTTTCACCGCCTCGCCGCAGAGGCCCC